GCAGAGAGCCTATATAGAGAATTTAGGGCAAGTTTGCAGGAAGATTTGACTGATTATAAAGAACTGTATGACAGGCAGACAGGCAGACACAAAAGAAGGTATAGATGTTAGTGACCTACCTACCCTGATGGTTCAATACACTGTCAATAGTGGGCCCTCGTCTTCTCCTACACCCTTTCTCTTGTATTGCCACCACCCTACCCTCTAGTGACTCAGCCTTCCAGTGTGCTCATTGCCTTCCTGACTGAGTGAAACTACACTGTTCACACACTATTCTTCTTCATACAGGCCACGTATTTATCATATTACTGTTGCTCTTGCTGTGTTGTTTTAGCTTTTATTGTTTTCCATGATGTGGTAAGGTATTGTTGGGTCTGGGAATACTCAAAACATATTCTATATTTATAAATTATATGACTATTTTGCTTTACCCACTTGGCTTACTAAAGGTTTCGTAGGAATTCTCTACTTTCAGATGCCAGGAAAATATGTATAGTTTTAATGATGGAGAAACACTAAGGGGGAAAACAATCATCCAATTTCCCATCATAGGGAGATAAATAAGAGTTCAGCTAGTACACAGTGCCTAGTATAGTAGTGTGGAATATGTAGGGCTGCTGAGATTAAAAACTGACCTGTCTGTACATCATGAAAGAAAAGCAGTCAGGATGAAGTGTTTCATGGAACTGCCCTCAAGCTAAATAGCATGCCATTGAAATTCCATATTTAGTGAGTGCATATTTTTTTTTCCTATGAAGATCTCAAATTCCTATATGAAAAACCTTTTTGCTTTTATAACTGTTTGGTTCAGGCAGTAACATTAGGCAATGATGCCTCCACATTGTTCATGGATGATCTTGTAGGGAGATTTCTTGTGTACTGATATTAGCCTGAGTGCAGCCAAACTTTCTCATGAAATACAGTCCTGGCCCCAGAAATGGAAGATGTATGACTATTGCTGGGGGTTTCTGAGGTGATGTAGAGAGGACAGTCCCACAATTGATTTGTAGACAGCAAATCCACAATTGGCACACTTCAGATTCTGACTCCGGGACTCACAGGCTTTTCTGACCTTTTCCTGAGAAGAGTGTAATTGGAAGCAAATTCAAAGTCTCATGTTCTTTTCAACAGAAGGCTGTCTGAGGCCAGGAGATTCTGTTAAAAAGTAGCCTTTCAGGCCTCCCAGTGGCGTGGCAGTGTTCACCGCCTCATGAAGCTGTCCACAGCCTTGGCGGTGTGGGTTCGATCCAGCCCGGCTGTCGATGATCCGACATGGCAAGCAGACCTCTCCTTGTCTGGCCCACTGCCCCCTCAGCAGTGTATTTCAGTCCGTCTGCCTGTTCTGTTCCCCACTCTGTCTCTGGTGTATCCTCTCACCCTCCCACACCTCTGGCCTGTCCCCAGCCCTTGTATAAAAATAAAAATAAAAACAAAACAAAATAAAAAAGTAGAAACCTTCCAATATATAGCTCTTTTTGGTTGCATATAGAAATTCATGTTTTTATTTCCCTGTAACTAAGTACTTCATTCTGAACTGGAGGAGTGGGCATTCCAGGAAATGGAGACCTTTGTTACTAATTCCAGAGTACAGATTTGTTTTCTAGTGAGGCCTAGACTTCATAGTCAGAGCAATGGAGTGTTAGAAAGGCAAAAGCAAAGGGAAAATCTTGATTAATTTTTCCTGTGCCCAAAAATGCATACCAAAATACAGGTACACACACAAACACACAGAAACACTTACCACTTTAGAACCCTTGTCATCCAAAGTCATTCAAAACTGGTGAGGAGGGAATTCCGAGGGCAAGCAGTTATTATCTGACCAACAATGCATTTTTATTTCTACCTGAAACTGTGGTAATGAGCTGAGAAAAATATACCCAAAGACACCAGGATTCCAGCAAGCCCTAAATCATGTATCTTAGAAACAGTTCCCCTCCTATCACAGGAAGCACAGGCACATAGACTGAAGCTCTGGAATACTGTCCATAACTGCAAAAGTTAGGCTGACCAGGGCAAACACTTATTGACACCATTGTTAAATCCCAAAAGTGTACTTCTGACTCTTTCAATGAAGCAACAGGTGGGTAAACAGAGCTCAAATTCAAAATTTCCGTGAAATAGAATTACTGTAGGTAAATGAAAAACTTAAGAACCTCGGGCTATACAGAACCATTTATTTCATAATTAGCTAAAGTTCAAAGACCATGTAATATTTAATCAAGTTCTATTTCTTAAAACAAAACTAGAGTAACCCTGTTGAAAGAAAACTAATACATATTCTTAGCGTGAAAGAATAGGATACTGTGCATAGGGAGATGAAAGGGTTAAGTTTTCCAATAACACACCCAGAGTTATTCATTTCCTCCAAGGTAAGTGTCCAGTCAAACAGGATTGGCCCAAAGCAGGCCACTGAAGCCCAAAGCTTGCCACCAGTCTAAGGCACCTTCTGGCAAGGAACCACAGAAAATAGGCATCAGGTGCAAGCAAGTCTGGAAGAAAAATTGCAAAATAAAGTACAAATCACGGCAATGGCTGCCATTGTCGGCCTCCACCCCCCACCTCTCTCCCAAGTGTCTCTCCATGTCTCAGATTCCACGGGTCCTTCCGTGTCCCCCAAGTCCACGGTGCAAGTCCAAAGCTGAGAAGCGAGCAGGCCTCCTTCTTCACGTGTCTCTGCTCCACAGGCTTCCTCCAGTCTCCTCTCTGGGGCTCTCCTCCCAGTTGTCTTCAGCTTCTCCTCCCCACTAGCTCTGCCCTTCATTATGTGAGGCAGGGAACACAGAACCTCCATTTTTACAAAGATCACACTCTAGCAATTTCATTCTCACAAAGTGGGGCAGTTGTGGTTTTTTTGACCAATATTAGCTTAAGAAAAATCAACAAACAACTATAAACCAGGGACACATTGGGGAGGGAGGGAAGAGGAGGAAGTAGGATCAAAACAAGGTGGGTGGAAGCTGTACGAGGACTATAACCAAGATAAAAATGCACACATTGTGCAAAAATGACAAATGATGTAAAAAATGTATATAATAAAAAAAATAAAAATGAAGAAAATTTACACAGCATTTAAGTATTTATTCCAGGTTAAACTGCTGGTATGTGGAATGACAAGACTTAAATTTACACTCTGGGGGCCTTCCTGGTGGCGCAGGCGGTTGACGCCACACTGTGAAGCTGTCTGCAAACCCTGCAGCGCTGGTTCAATCGCGGCCAGTGGGTGAGAATCCCACATGGTGCACAGCCTCTCCTGACTCGCCCGCTGCTCCCCTCAGCAGTGTATTTCAGTCAGCCTGCCTGTTCTGTTCCCCACTCTGTCTCTGGTGAATCTTCTCACCCTCCCATGCATCTGGCCTGTACCCCAGTTCATGTATAAATAAACCTTTAAAAAAAATTAAAAAAAAAAACACTCTGGACACAACTTCCTCTCTTAGCATCTATCATTTTTGATATTTACTACTTAACGCCTTCATTTTCTCAGTCAGTGGCAGAGAAAATGAGATCGCAAACATTTGACAGAGGGCAGGAGGTCTCATTTTCCTCGGGAGAATAGAAATTGATAAATTAACAGCCTCTCCTACCATGCACGAATTTAGGAAAAATCTGATAGGGCAAGTGATATACCCTGTTGATAAATAAAGGATGTCAAAATGCAAAAGAAAGGAGGCAGCAAGGCAAAGCTGGCAGAATGATGGAAATAAGCTCAGTGCCTTAGATGCCCCCAAGGCAAAAGGCACTCCAGGGAAGTGCATGAGGATCAAGAAGCTCAAGGGCCTGGTTGGCAAATAGTCATGGGGAATTCACAATTCAGAGGATTGAAATATGGAAGAATTTGCTTAGGAAAGCAACACTTGGAGTATTCATAGATGCATGATCCATGGTTTGTGACGTTGTAAAAGGAGACAGTGCCCACCTCATGTCTAGGAAAACCCCAACAAGACTGGGAGGGACCTTCATGGAAAGAAACAAGATCTTGGGTTTCTTGGAGTGAGTGTCCTCATCATAAGCACGATACCTTGATCCATTCAGTATCCCTATAGCTATATGAAACAGGCAGGCTGTAATCCAGCATAAATATCTGCTATAAAAGTGAGTTTATCAACTCTCGCAGCAAACTGCCGTGCACGTGCTTTGTAATGGTTTCCCCACACACCCCCAGGATACAGGAACATTTTTTGGATACATCTACCTCCCAGTAATGTTTCCCATTTGTGAGAAGTGGTGATCCCACGACAGAATAATCATAATAGCAATTCCCATTTCTAACTGGATTGCTGTCACACAAATATCTCAGTTCTCTCTTATTTGCAGAAATCTCAACACAGTGTCCATTGATGGCCCGATTCAAGGTGACATCAACTGCAGAAAAATTAAAGGTGTGGGTGAGGGACAGGAAGTGTCCTTATACATGACATTGTGAGAAGAATCATGAGAATAACTTAGCAGGAAATGGAAAGAATTTTGGTTTTAGGGAGAAATAAGACACTGCAGAATTAGTCTATGTATTAGAATGAGAAACATGAGTTTTAAAATATGAGCTCTATTAGAAATCAAAAAATTCAGAGAGATGAAGTGAATAGAGTAGAGAAGTCTGATGACATGAAGATATATCCTTACCCCAGCAGCATCACACATTCGCCAGGTCTGAAATGATTAAACAAAAAAATCTGAACTCTTAAATATAAGTGAAGGACACAGCACAGAACTCTATCTCCTCTCCAGATTAAGGGAAGTTCCTGGAACTATGGCAGGGAGTAAACAAGTAAATAAGGGTAGTGCTGAGTCCTGGCCGATCCCCACTCAACAGGACATTTCCTCAGCCACAGTCACCAGTGCCCCCAGCATCACTGTCCACACCTAAAAGCTGCATTTCTTCCTCACTTGGTCCCTGCCATTGCAACACCCCCCAGTCGCCCAGCCGGCTGACCATGCCTCACCAGTAAGCCCTCGCAGTATCCCTCTCATATCCGGAGCTTGGTACACACGTCTTGGTTCTTTGGGGAAAGTTTTTGGCTTCTTCAGAGTGAAATCCCAACACCTAGAATGAAAAACATAGATTTCCCACACCTCTAATATTGAAACTACTGACTTGTTATCTCTTCACTCTAAGGAATGCACTTGAACTCTTACCTGGAAACTAGGAGGAAAAAAAGAGTAAATGCTGACCTCAGAGTCAGAAAATAATGGGCTGATGTCTACCTCTGTGTGACTCTGGGAAGGTCTTGACCTCTCAAGAGCTGATTCTTCCTTACAAAGTTAAATCATTAATGTCTATCCCTCTATTTGCTAAAAACCATATGAATTATGTGTATTAACAGATTTGACAAAATAAACTTTATTACCTTAAAAAAAAGTAATGTGTGGAAAAGTCACTATATGCATTAGGGATCCAGAGAGAAAAAAAGAAAGGAAGGCTCCAGATCCTGGCTCCTGGGTTTCTGAGATATATCAAGTTTGGGAACACTCCCTGGAGACAACCAAGATTTCAAACTCTACTCCCCACTAGGGAGGCCCTCAGAATAACATTTAAGACTCAGGCTCTCTGAGAACAATTGCAAACACTTACAAAAGAATACATGATGATCTCCAGCCGAACAGTGGTCTGGATTTTATGTGTTCAGAAAGAGGTCGATGCTGCCAGGCAGGCATGAATTTAAAGTAAGTTGATGCCTCTTGATACTTGGGGCCAGAGTTGTAAGGAGATGAATCACCTTCTTATAGCAGGGCCCAAATATCCCACGAGATAGTCTATGAAATTTAGATATAAAGGTATTGTTGCTAATTCTGGGTGCTTGGCAGAAAAAGAAGATCTGGGCTTCCCCCTATAAAAGTCAAGCACCTATGATATGCAAGAACCCTAGGTAGAAGCACACAGAGTGAATAAAATTTATGAGGTTACAGAGGTCTGAAAACTCAAAGGCTTGATTTTTTTTTGTTATTAATTTTTTTCTTATATTATTGTAGTTCCCATGGTTCTCCGACTCCTGTACCACTTGTGAATCGTCACCATATCCCCTTGTATTTTCCCTCTCCTATTTTGACCTCCTTCCCTCATCCTGCTTTGTTGTATGTCTCAGATCTATGGTCAGCTTGCTAGTTTTGACTTTATCTCCACCTTGCATTTCGTTTCTCTACATTCCACATGTAACAGAGATCATCAATATTTATCTTTTTCCTTCTGACTAATGTTGACTAGCATAATCCTTTTCCTGTTCCATCTATATTGCTGTAAATAGTAGTATGCTTGTCTGTTTTGATCGCTGAGTAACAGTCCATTGTATAAACATACCACAACTTTTTGATCCATTCATTAATTTTGAGTTATATGGGTTTTTTCCATATCTTGGCTATGGTAAATAAACAGTGCTGTAATAAACACAGGAGTGCAGTTTTCCTTTCAAATTAGTGTTTTTGTGTTATTTGGGTAGATTCCTAGGAGTGGAATCACTGGATCACATGGAGTTCAGTTTTTAGAGTTCTAAGGAAGCTCCACGAAGCTTTCCATAGTGGCTGGAACAGTTTACAATCCCCCCAACAGTGTAAGAGTGTTCCTTTATTTCCACATCCTGTCCAGCATTTGTTGTTTCCTTTTTTTTTTTTTTTTGGTGCGGGCCATTCACACTAGGGTGAGGTGGTATCTCATTGCAGTTTTGATTTGGATTTCCCTGGTAACTAGCGATGTTGAACATTTTTTCATACGCCTATTGGCCATTTGTCAAATGCTTTATCTTTCGGCTACTACTGACCCAAACTTGTCAGCTTCCTACCATCCCCATTCCTTTCCATAGTGTCTGGTCCATTCTCAACCCATTTTTTATAAACAGAAATTTAAGACAAAAGTATACCCATGTTTCCCTGCCCACAATGATGCTTCATTGTTAGTGAACACCAGATTACTCTAAAAAGCATTAAATATCTGTCCACATTAAAAAAAGACCATCGCCGGTTTCCCACACATACCTTCATAAGATGTCAGTCACATCCTAGGAGAAAAAGAAAAAAAAAAAAATTAAAAAAAATCATGTGTCAAGAAGTAATAGGTTCTCCCCACTTATAAGGGCCTCATCATATTTCCTTGCCCCGTGATTAGGTGGGTTAAAGTTGGTCCCATTGTCAGGGACAAATGCAAAGACAAGACTTAGGCCAGACATTCCAGAACTCATGTGATGCTGTCAGGTTTCCCAAGAGGTAGAAACAGTTTTGACTCTTATGGAAGTCAAGTATGTATCTGGAGATGAGACGTACTTGTAAGGAAAACTAGAAACCCATGATTTTATTTCCTAAATGCAGACTCCCTCTAAGATGACTGAATAATTAATGGGTCTTTCATGTATTCAGCAGAAATGGAATGTGTATGCAACTTTTTGTCAAGCATTATGCCAGGCTTAGGGAAATTTAAAAAATTATAATATTCTTCAAGAATTTTGCATGACTTTTTATGAGGTGCACACAGACACAATTAATGTAGGTGCTTTTCCTGTCTCTCTCTCCCCACATTAAACTCTCTCTACAAGTGACTTCATCCATTCCCTTAATTCTACCCACACATATGTGCGGTCAGTTTACTATTTTTACTCAGAATGTCTCATCTGTAACTTCACCAAGCTGTTAAATCAGTGCAAGTTAAGAAAAAAAAGCACACACACACACACTCACTCCATGGTTAAAAGGAAAAAAAATTGCAAAAAAGTTGAAAATAAATTGGATTGAATGAAAATAAAAACAAAACAATACTAATATATGGAATACAGTTAAAGCAATACATTTATATTATTAAACACTAAACCAGAAAAGATGTTTTCTAAATTTTCATTTTAAGAAACTAGAAAAACAACAGTAAGCTAACCACGTACAACACACACAAAGTAATTATGTAGAAAACAGAAACAAATGATTGAACATAAAAGAAATTGATGACATATAAAAGTTTGTTCTATAAAAATGTCAATAAAATCGACTAGACATAAACTAAGAAAAAAGGGAAAAAGCAAATCAACACAATTAAAAATAAAACAGGGCAGAAGAGAGCCCAGCACTCTAATGATTTTTTTTAATCATGGGGACTGTAGAGAATTTCAATCTGCAAGTTCTCTTTCCCCTTCCTCCTTTCCTTTTCATATTATTCTTAAAAATCCGTATTTTTTTAATAATACAGGATCTCTGTCCTCATTGTGGTCACCACAGTTTTCCAACCACCAAAGTGCCCACAGCGGTCCACCCTGCCCACATGGGGATGCCTCCCCACCATTCTCTACCCTGATGTCCAACCCCAAACACCACTCCCACCACAGACACACACAGGCGCTCGGAAGGACTGCAGTGACTTTCTGAAGGAACACAGCCAAGGCACCTAGGAGAGCTTCAAAGTCCTGTATCTCATGGGCCACCAGGAGAGAACCCAGGAGAGAAACTGGGCCATGCCATACACTTTAAAAATGCAGCAGGTGCACTGCTCGTGGGAGTGCAAACTGGTCCAAACACTATGGAAAGCTTGTGGAGATTCCTCAACCTACTAAAGATAGAGCTTCCATATGATCCAGCAATTCCAATCCTAGGGATTTACCCAAAGGACACAGAAACATCAATTCCAAAGAGCACCTGCACCCCTATGTTTATAGCAGCACTGTTTACAATAGCTAAGCTTTGGGAACAACCCAAATGCCCAAAAATAGATGACTGGATCAAGAAGATGTGGTACATATACACCATGGAATATTACTCAGCATTCAAAAAAGATAAACATATGCAATTTGCAGCAACATGGAAGGCGCTGGAAGGGATCATGCTCAGCGAAATAAGCCAGAAAGAAAAAGAAAAATACCGGATGGTCTCACTCATAGCAGGAATCTAGAAAACCTAAATACAGACCAGGAAAAAGAATCACTATAAGAAAAAAATCAAAATCAACAAACAACTATGAACCAGAGACATTCTTTGGGGTGTGGGGGAAGGAGGGATTAGGGTCAAAATGGGGGTTGCAATTGTATGGGGAATATAAAAATAAAATAAAATAAATATTATCAATTAAAAAAATGCAGGAGGGGTGTCAGTCCTGCTTCTGGAGGGCCTAATGGTATTTTTTGGGGGGCAGGGGGTCCCACTTCAGATTGCTACTTTTGTTACTTCTGAACTTTTGCTATTCAGGGGACTTTTAGCTGCCTCCCTCCTACACCTGCTGTTCTCTTTTGCCTTCCAGCACTTTGGCAAACCAATGAAAACCATTTCAGCACACCATTTGGGTTGCTTTGCCTTTATGGACCAGGTGACAAGAACCCCTAGAACAGACAACATGGGTTATTCCTCTTTCCAGTTATTTGGAGTCCCTGTGAAGCCCCTTGGTTTTGCTTGGTATCAAGGGAACATTTCAGTGAATATTGTAGAAATTGAAGGGATGACAAAGAATTATTATGAGTATCTTTGCATCTACAAAGCACACAACTTAAACAAACTCCTATTGTTAGGGGGAAAGGATGTCCTACAGCTAATTCCATACAGGCTTTGTGGACTCCACCCCCATCCCAGGTCAAAGCCAAGACACTGGGAACTCCAAATCCCATCCCCACCAAAGGAAAAGTGGCTGGGACCTGAGGGTGGGGTTAAGCAGCCAGGTTGGTATAAAGGCAGACAGGTGGGCTTTGGAGGGTTCCCCCATTTTGGCTCTCCACCAGCTCGCAGCATCCGGCCAGCTCTGAGAGTGACTTTGGGTTTCCAGGTCGGCGGATCGGGTAGGACGCATTAAAGACTTTATTTTCCTATTTTCTCCCTGAGTTGTACATTTTCTTATTTCCTTTTCCCTTGTAAATAAACCTTTTATTAACCTTTTGTGTGTGCCTGTACTGGAGTATTAATAAGTCCCTTTTAAGTAAGCGGTGAGGACCCACAGCCAGGAACCCGTTCAATATCGGGGCTGTCCTATAACACTATGAAGACACACATTGCCAAAAACGGACACAAAAAATATTTAAATAATTAAAACAAGTAAATTATATATATTTAGTTATATACATATAATTAATATACACATATATGTACCCTTTCACACAAAAGGGCCAGAATAAAACATCATTTGTGGATTCTACTGAACAATTAAAAATAAATACCAAGTCTTCAACAATTCTTCTCAGAAAAAAGAAAAACAAGGGGGAAAATCTCTACTCAACATAAGTGGAAAAATGCACGTTAAGACTCTGAAGTGTTGTAGAGCAATCCCGATACAAAACGGGGTGCCTGACTGTGGGTCCTCCCTCACCTGTGCTTAAAAGGACTTATCAATGCTCTACTGCAGGCACACGCGAAAGGTTAATAAAAGGTTTATTTACAAGGGAAGGGGAAATGAGGAAATGTACAGCTCTGGGAGAAAAGTGGGAGACAAAGTTTTAAATGAGTCCTACCCGATCTGCCGATCAGGAATCCCAAAATGGCGATCTTAGAGCTGGCTGCAAGCCAGGAGCTGTGTAGCCAAGAGGCCAGCGACAGCAAGCCCCCCAAGGCCCACGTGTTTGGTTTTTATACCCAACCTGGCTGCTTAACTACACCTTCAGGTCCCAGGCACCCTCCCTTTGGTGGTGATGGGATTTGTCTTTTCCAATGTCCTGATGGCTTTAGTCTGGAGTGGGGGTGGGATCCACAAAGCGTTTATGGGATTAGCTCAGGGCATCATTTCCCCCTAACAGAAGTACATTTGTTCATCTGGACTAAGCTGGATCACTTCATTTAACTAATAAATGCATAATACTAGCAGGCAATAACAGAGGGATATCAAATACACCTGAATAAAATGCATCTTCAATCCAAGCTCACACAATTGCATTGTACTTGATACATTAATAAAAATGAGGTTTTCCTCTTGTTATTTACGCATTCACGTATTCCTATAAATGCAGGAAGCACACTGCAGAGCAGAAGAACCTTAGTGTCACACCAGAAAGAGCACAGCAATACGGAAGGGGAGGGAAATCTGCCCTCATTGTTCTCATGTCTCAGATGCTGGGGCTTCTTTTGAGATCTTACTGTAACAGGGTGGTCCCCAGGAAAGAGGGAGGTTCCAAGTTCCCTGCCCCACCCAAAGAAGAGAAGGAAGGGAGAAGGAAGAAAGCAGGATGGAGAGCCAGGTCCACAAAGCCTTTATGGGATTAGCTCAGGGCATAATTTCCCCCTAACAAAACAAGGACTCAATCTACCTAGTCCCTCGGTTAAACTTCATATGGAAAGGGAATGATGGATTTTCATGGCACTAGCATCAACCCCCATTTAACACATGGTTCGAAACATCTACTTCTGACTCTAATTTAGTCTCTTTTAATCAGGCTGGAGGTACAGAAATGTCCATCACTTTGGGAGTTGAGCCTAGTGTTTCTCTTCCCCCAAAAGGTTTAGATAGGCTTTTTAAAAGCTGAAAAATTGAATTTGTGTCCTCTTATTAGGTAGAACTAAGGTAAATCAAATTTTTGTGAGTCTCATGAGGAAGCGTTATCTTAAAGAGATGACCTAGACTTAGCAACATCTCTAGAAATAATTTTTTAAAAGATTTTATTTATGTATTTACGCACAGAAGAACTGGGGTGTAGGCCAGAGGTGAAGGGGGTGAGAGCATTCACCAGAAACAGAGTGGGGAGCAGAACAGGAGAATCGGCTGAAATACACTGCTGAGGAGAGTAGTGGGCGAGACAGAAGTCTGCTGAGCCATGTGTGGGTCAGCTCCCCGGACCATGATCGAACTCAGACCATTGTGATGATAGGGCTGAGACATAACCCCTATGTCATCAGGGAGGCATGCCAGAAAAAAACTTTTTACGGGAAAGGGCCTCCCCTGGTCACACAGCAGTTGAGTGCTGGGATGCAAAGCTGCCCACAGCCTCTGCAGTGCCGGTTTGATCCCCGGCTGCTCCCCGGCCACAGGAGGAGGGTTCCACATGGCGCGCAGACCTCTCCTGCCACCCGCTGCTCCCTCAGCAGTGTACTTCGGTCCTTCTGCCTGCTCTGCTCCCTGCTCTGGCTCTGGTGAATTCTCTCACCCTCCCATGCTTCTGACTCTACCCAGTGCTTGTACAAATAAATAAATACTGCATAAATTAAAAAAAAAAAAAAACAAAAACAACTACGGGAAAAACCTATCTCAAGGCAAGGCAAATATCGAAAGACAAGTTTGTATCACATGAAATTGTCCCCTCCTGGCCCCAGAGACCCCCTCTTCCCTCGACACCCAAGGCTCCTAACCCATCCTTAACAGAGGTTATAAATACTGGATCTGGGCCTCCCTCGTGGCACAGGGGTAAAAGTCTCAGTGCTATCAAGTCATCCCCAGCCACTGTGGCATGAGTTCAATCCCCTGCCAGGGAGATGATCCACATGGCGCAGCAGACCTCTCCTGTCTCACCCACTGTTACCCTCAGCAGTGTATTTCAGTCAGTCTGCTTGTTCTGCTCCCCACTCTGTCTCTGGGGAATCCTCTCACCCCCCAACACCTCTGGTCTGTACCCCAGTTCTTGTATGCATAAATAAATAAATCTTTAAAAATAAATAAACACTGGATCTATCCCATTTTATTTCAGTATTTACAGTCATGTAAATTCTCCATGTGTACATTATTAAATGTGGTCTTTTCTCCTTCTAAGCTGTCTGATGTTAATCTCCTTGCTCATTCAGTTCCAGAACTTAGAGTGAGGAAATCTTCCCCTGTCTCAACACCACAGGAAGAGACCACAGACCTCTGAGCTATGGTGACCAGGCAACCAGGAGGAGATTTCCCATCAACCATATATTCTGCTGTTTTACCTGCATTCTGCTCTCCTACCTGGTACTCCTGGGCAATCTCCTCAATGAGGAAGGTCTGGTGACTGCGGTGCTCCTGAGACATCTCACAAAGCCAGCAAATGACTTGCCAATCCTGCTTACAGAAGAGCAGGAGTTTCTCTCCATGGCGCACACAGAGCTCTTTCTTCTGCTCCCCCTCTGGGCTCATCTTGACTCCTCTGAGCTGCTCCGCTATGTTGGCCAGATGCCGATTAGGCCGCAGGTGCCCAGGCTCGTAACTGATTCTGCACACAGGGCAGCTGCTCTTCTCTTCCTGGGTTGCCGCGGACTCCTTGTTGTTTGCAGTGATGCAGGCTCGGCAGAAGCTGTGGCCACAGTCTAGGCTTAGGGGCTCTTTCAAGAGGTCCAGGCAGATGGGGCAGGTCACCTCCTCCTGGATGCTCACTAAGATGTTTGATGCCATAGCTGTTGCACCTGCTGCTCGCTATCCTGGCTTGAGTCTCTTGCTCACAGATCCTGGTATATTTGAGAAGGTTGTATTGGAACAAACGAGAAAGCCAGGATACAATTCTAATTGTACAGAAAACAAAGATAGGCTAACATAAAATATATAAGAAAAAAATGGGGAGGGTCTCCCTTGTGATGCAAGGGGTTAAGCACAGCACTATGAAGCTATCAGCAGCCACTGCAACAGAGTTTCATCTCCAGTCCAGGCAGCTACCCACATAGTGCAGACCTCTCCTGTCTCACCCACTGGTCCCCCTCAGCAGTGTATTTCATGAGATCCTCATGTTCTGCTCCTCAGTCTGTCTTTGGTGAATCCTCTCACTCCTCAACTCTGGCCTGTACCACAGAATTCTTGTATGCATGTATAAATAAATCTTTAAAAAAAAAAAAATGGGGTCTCCCTGGTGGCGCAGCAGTTGAGCGCTGGGTTGCGAAGCTGCCTGCAGCCTGTGCAGCGCCGGTTTGATCCCCGGCTGCTCCCCGGCCACCTGAGGAGGGTCCCACATGGCGCAGACCTCTCCTGCCGCCCGCTGCTCCCCTCAGCAGTGTATACCTCGGTGCTTCTGCCTGCTCTGCTCCCCGCTCTGGCTCTGGTGAATTCTCTCACCCTCCCACGCTTCTGACTGTACCCAGTGCCTGTATAAATAGATAAATAAATAAATATTTTTAAAAAAAAAAAAAAGGAAGGAGACAAGGAAGTGCATGCAGTTCCTGGACTCCAAGCAACTTGATCCTAAACTCCATGAGGAAAGAATCACCTTGAAGACCAGAGTTAGGCAGAAAAGGAAGACATTTATTATCTAGTTGAATCAGTCATCTGTGGAGTCCGGGAGCCAGCCACCCTTGGCTGAATATCTGGTTTTATGGAATGTGCAGATGGCATTACCCTGGGCCCACAAAGATATTGCTTTATGGTGTGGTGTCATTATTAAAGTTAAAAACTAGGCCCCACTCCTCGTTCAACAGGCAAATTGGGAGGCTTGACTGGATAAGGTTGTGGGTTGGGCAGCCACAGGAACTGGGCTGTTAAGCTGAGGATCCAGATGCAGAGTCAGGACACACCCAAGACTAGTCCCCCAACCAATCAGTGGTGCCTGCAGTAGAAACAGCCTCAGGCCCTCTCATCTGGCCCCTGCTCCTCTCACTTGTGTATTTCAATAAATTCTCCTTTTCTGCTCTCTAGTCTGTCTCTGGTGAAGTCTTTCATCCCCCCAGACTCTGGCCTACACCCCAACTCTTCTCTGCAGCGTGTGGATCAGCTTATATAAGTCCCTGTTTCAGGAACGGTTTAGAAAGCCAGCTCAAGGCTGGGCCTGTGACCCTAACTGCCTACTTTCCGAACTTACTTCCTCCTTCACTTGGTGATGGGTAAAATACAGTTTGCATAATAATGTCAGTACAGGGCCCCTGGAACCTGGTCCTTGTTTGTTACCTTCCTGTTGCTGAAAACCTAAAGAGCTGGGATGCACTTTCCCTTGTCACAGTGTAACAGGGTGGTCCCCAGGAAAGGGGGAGGTTCCAGGTTCCCTGGCCCACCCAAGGGAGGGTGGATGTGAGCAGGGAGAGAAGAAGCTGCAGAGGAGACTGAGAAAGGAAGCAGGATGGAGCCAGAAGGAGACCTGGAGGAGGCGCATGGAGCCGAGAGACACGTGAGGAAACTGCGCTTGGCTTTTGGTCGTGGACTGGGTGACACAGATGTGGGTGAGACTCCTGGGGAGGTGACCATGGTGGATTTTGTCTTGATTTTGGTTTTGCTCTTTTCCCTGGAGACTTGTCTGGTTGTTTCCGATCCTTTTCTGTGGGTCCCCACTGGAAGATGCTTTGGATGGACATTTACTCACGAGGGGATGGCTAACTTTGGGTGCTTGATTTAGAAAGTAGATTTTTTGCCTTTCCTGTATTGGTTCCTAATTGTATTAAAGTTCCTTCCCATTAAAGTCTCATGTTTTGTGCTGATGCTGCGGATGGCAGAACCTATTTAGAGCAGGCAGGTTTGCCGGGTCTGGGCTGCCCCTGTCCCTGCCCTGTAACAATAGGAGGGTGTTAATGTGAGACCAGGTAAAGCATCTATGGGTGCTTAAAGGCCCTGAAATCCAAGCTAGAAAGCCCAAGGCCAGCCAATACCCTACTTCCCCACTAGCCCAGTCTGATGATGAGCCTCATAAAGCAGGATCCTTGATGCTCTCAACTAGGGAGTGTGGCTCAGGGTGGCTGCTGCCTGCCCTCTTCTAGTGTGACCACAATAAATGTTCCTCGCTTGAAACCAGTTACTGTCTTTTCAAGATTTATGTACAATGGATTGGAGGAAACCAGACAAAGACCCTTCAGAACCGGTAACAGTTTAACACACTTTATTGAGTGCACAACCTAGGGGTATCTTGGGATCCCTCAGAATTCTACTTTTTTTTTTTTTTTAAAGGAGTTTTTTTTTTTTTTTTTTTTTTTAAGATTTATTTATTTATTTATTTATTTATTTATTTATTTATTTATACAAGCACTGGGTACAGTCAGAAGCACAGGAGGGTAAGAGGATTCACCAGAGCCAGAGCAGGGAACAGAACAGGCAGAATGATGAAATACACTGCTGCGGGGAGCAGTGGGTGTGGCAGGAGAGGTCTGCACATCATGTGGGACCCTCGCCCGGCAGCCGGGGATCGAACCTGCACTGCAGAGGCTGCGCTGGCATCTTCACAGCCCAGCGCTCAACCGCTGCACCACCAGGGGAGGCCCAGAATTCTACTTTCTAAAGGGATCCAGTCATCCACATGATGGAGGACAAGCATAGAAAAAGTGGAAAGGAAACCCACAAGATCAGAAACCTGGCTCACAAAGCCAAGAGCTGGAGGTGGGGGTAGAAGGGATTTACCCAGCCATTAACCCAGCTATGGGAGCTAAGATCCTTAGGAGCCAATGCCTAGATCACAAAGCACCAGACCCAAGCAGGTATCAGATGCTGTAGGGGGTGTCAGCAGAGCAGACCTAAAGGTAAACATATGGAGATTGAGGGCCATTGTAGATCTGTCCACTTTCAAATTCTACATAGTTATTCCAAGGCAACAACAAACAAACCACTCCAGGAAGGAGTGACCCTCCCAGAGAGAAGACTCTATCAGGGCAGTCTCTGCACTGGCTGGGGCAGCACTCCTTGTGCCCACCTGTGACTCTGCAGGTGCTCCTTTTCACCAACTCTCTGTCCCTCCGCAGGGCAGCAGCTTCCTGCCTGCCCCTGACAGACACCTGCCAGTACTTCCCCTCACTGACCTCCCTCAGCAGAGGCACCTCTCCTCAGGCTGCCTGTCTGCAACCATGCAGGTCTCTGCCTTAGAAAACTTGTCTCTTTTGGGGCAGCACCTTCTTCCTGCATGTGTCTATGTACGTGTCCTTTATTCTTCTCTCCCTTTTATAATAAACCTGCTCTTTAAATATAACTAACATCACTGTCTCATGAGAAACTGGCCCGGGAAATTCACCGCGAGCCTCTGAAAGGGGAGCTCTGGTGACACCTTCCCCAGAGTGAACCCAAGAGCCCTACCCTCCAAACAGAACAACTGCAAAAACCACATCATGTACAAAAGGCAAAGCAAACCTTCAGTGGAATATCACTTTAATAGAATTAGTGTGCAGAGGGCGAGAAAAGAAAGGATATTTCTAAACAAAATTGTCCATCCACTAACAGGTAAATGTCCAAACAAGGTTGACTTAAAGTGGGGCCACTGAGGCCCAAAACCGTGCCACCGATCTAAAGCACCTTCAGGCAGGGCACCACAGAAAAACTGTTCTGAAGCAGGTCCCAGAAAGCAGGGGTGGGTGGGGTGGGGGTGATGCAGTGAAAAGGACAGGTCTTTTTTCCTGCCCCATCAGGTAAGTATTCTTATCCTTTGCATTTAACAAGTTTGTCTTGTTGCAGTCTCAGCAAAAGTAAGGACATTCCGGGGCCTCCCCAGTGGCAAAGTGGTTGAGCGCTGGGTTGCGAAGCTGCCCGCAGCCTCTGCAGCGCTGGTTCGATCCCTGGCTGCTCCCCGGCCACTGGAGGAGGGTCCAACGTGTCCCGCAGACCTCTCCTGCCGCCTGCTGCTCCCCTCAGCAGTGTACTTCCGTCCTTCTGCCTGCTCTGCTCCCCGCTCTGGCTCTGGTGAATTCTCTCACCCTCCCGTGCTTCTGACACTACCCAGTGCTTGTATAAATAAATAAATAAATAAATAAATAAATCAATCTTAAAAAAAAAAAAAGAAAGGACATTCCAAGAAGATTATAAGTTAAACACCAGGTGTCAGCAAAGCAAGCTGGCAACCACAGGTAGGCCTACATCAAAAGGACATGCTGACCCTTCCTGCCTCCCCTTTGCAGACCCTGGCCCAACTCCCCTTAGTTTTACTAATTAGTATAAATACCCCTGCCCTCTGCAAAGGGCAGAAAAGTGGTCTTTCAGACAGTCTGCTGCCCTCCTCACTTTGTCCACAAATTAAACTACTTTCCATTTCCTCAAACTGTTTCCTTTTATTAGCTGAGGGAAACAGGCCACTTTTCAATATCAACGGGTACCCTTCACTCTGCCCGCTAATAGCTGCAGCTTGCACAGGAGGAAGTACAGGGGCTCCCCTTATCTAAATGCCCTTCCTCTGGGCCTTGGCATCGTGTTATACTACCTTTTCTGACATATGTATACATTAACATCATCAAGGAAATCATTTTGTAAGATAAAAGTTGCAAAGAAATTCCTCCTACTTACTCTGATCTCTCAGCTGAGCTTTCTTCTGGATGAGCAATACTGACAGAGGATAAGAGTAGAAAATTGGGAAGGAGGCATCTCATGTTACCACAGGGAGTAACAAGGCTGATGCAGAGGCAAGGGCTCTCCCAACTGACTCTGGCTACAGGCCCTGCCCCTATGCTCTTTTTAACAGGCGGAGTTGGTCATTCCACAAGTCCACAATACCCTCCACGCAGGGCCATGCCCACTTACCCAATTCCTGACTCTGCTCTTCTTTCAACCCTCCTCGAGTGCAAAAGTCTGGCAGATATATTCCCGTTGTCAAACCTGTGCTCGCATATCACCTCAAGGGCGAGTTCGCCCACCTTCCTCTTTTTCAGCTCACCCACTGCGTGGACACCTCCCCGTATAGGAGTGACCTCTCCCTACTCAGGCAACTGCTCCGGGAACACGCAGACCAGTACTTACCCAGTCCTGCCTCGGATCTCGACCTTCTCAACTGACCTTCCCCACCACTGCCTCCGGGAGACCAAGTCCTGCTCAAATCACTTCAACCAAAGCCACTGCAGCCTCGTGGACCAGTCCACACACGGTCAGTCTCACCACACCCACAGCGGTAACAGTTCTGGGGGACCCCTCCTGGCACCATCTATCACAGGTCAAACGTGTCCCCGAAGACAAACAGTATGTATGTCCTAACCTGCGTCCTACTAGGATGCGTATTTCTTGTCAAAATCTCCCCTAGCTCAGTGTCCTGTGTATGGAAATGACTCTTTTGGGATTAATAACTCCTCTTGTTTCCTCTGCACGTCCCTTCAGAGGCCTCTGCCGGCGGCAATTCCAGTGAATCTCAATACCACAACGACCAAGATAACAGACGCTGCTTGCCTGACTCCCCAATGCTCAGTCCCCCTCTGGGACTCCAATCACAGCTACCCCTGCTATCCAACTGACACCCTTGTCGGCTTCACTCCTGCACTTCTAACATTTCGGTTACTCCTGCGCTCCAAACCACAAGGGGATCCTTTTTCTGGGACAATGGCGCTCTCTCTCAGTGTATTGATTCTTCTGCCCCAGGCCCTTGTGTCCAAGTCCCACAACTCACCCTATAGGGACAATCCAAACTGGGATGGGCTCTCACCACACCAAACTAAATGAAAGGCTCTCCTCCGGATTATGGTGGCATTAGCCTGACATCATCTCTTGAAGCCTCAGGCGTGGCAGGTGGGGCCCTGGGACACAGCCTTATTTCTGCCCAGGATTTTTCTGAACGAATAGATAGCTCCTTAGAATAAACTTCTGTGTCTTTAGCATCCTTATGAAGACAGCTCACCTCACTGCCTCAGATCACTCTCCAAAACCAGCAGGCTCTGCTGACATGGTTTCAAAATCCTATAGTGTCTTGGCTCCTTCCACTCTTGGGGCCAATACAAATGAGAACCTTATTTTTTATTTTTCCTCCTCACCTCCTAAAATTCATACCAGCTCGCATTCGGGAAATGTCTCCTACCACCTTTAACCAACTCCTTCTCCACCCGTATTCTCCATCCCTGCAGAAGACCCTCATAACCAGGCCTGACCCACCCCTTGGTCTTCGCCCAACTCCAGCTGAAAGTAGCCAAAGAAAGAGCCTTTGCCCTTTTCCTATCCACAAAAGGCTGGTATGAAAGGTCCATGCAGGAGGCCGGAATGCAAAAGCCCCCAGGAAGCCCACCTAGAAAATTCAGACAATTAGCCTCTTGCCTCACTACAAATCTTTTCATGCCCTACAAACATTTTCCCCCACCCTGCAACCCCAGTTTCCCGCCTGACCTCTCCTCACCCTATAAAAGCTTCCTCCCAGGCAACATGCTTGACATCACCGACCCCCACCTTGGGTCCGTGAATTTCTCTCCGGGGCCCAATAAATTTTCCCATATTCGAGAAACTTAGCCTGGTACTTCTTTTCTTTACTGCGCCGACCCTTTCACATTGGTTGTATTTAAAGGGCAGGTTTATAAAGGAAAGGGACAGAAGAGTAAAGGACATTTGTATAGACATAAGTGGGCAGGAAGAGCTGCCCGAAAGGACAGGTTTGCTGAGAGAGGCCTGCAAGGCTGCAGGCAGGAGGCCTTGAGGGGACGGCCCCCACTGAGAAAGGTCAGTGAAGAGAAGCCCCAGCATGGGACAGGTCACAGCTAGGCAGGAGGCTGCTGCCCTGCAGGAGAGAGTGGGTGAAAAGAAGCTTCTCTATAATCACAGGTGGGCAGTGGAGTGTAGCCTGAGCCACTGTAGAGACTGCACTGATACAGTCTTCTGTTTGGGAGGGGCTCACTCTTTGGATTTCCCTTAGTTGCTCATTTGGATAACTCTGCAGAATCTGAAAGGGGCAGGAGATTCCACAATGGGCTCAATCTCCATATCTTCACCCTTTGACCTTTACTCTAGACACTCTCTATGGCTGCCTGATACCTGCTTGGGTCTGACACTTTGTGATCTAGGCATTGGTACTTAAGGATCTTGGTTTTTATAGCTGTGTTGATGGTTATGTTAACCCTTTCTACCCCCACCTCCTCGTGTAAGCAGGTTTCTGTCTGTGGCACCTCCTTTTAAGGTTTTTTTTTTTTTTAATACTTGTCCTCCATCATAAGCAAATGTCCTTTATTCTTATCTCCCTTTTATAATAAACCTGCCTTTTGGAGATAACTGATATCTCTTTCTTGGGAGAAACTTGCCTGGGAAACTCGTCAGTGCCGTGAAAGGGGAACTCTGGTGAAGCTTTTCCCAGCGTCAACCCAAGGACCCCGTTCTCGAACCCAAGATCTCCAAAACTGACCTCACCAATGTACTCATAATAAACCTGCCCTTTTGGATATAACTAAATGTCTTTGTCTCATGGGGAGACTGCCCGAAAGCTGCTGAAAGGGGAGATAACTAAAACTTGTCTCAGATGTACCCAAGAACCACTCTCTGAACCCCACATCTCTTCATTATGATGACATCATATATAAGTGAGAAGGACGAACAAGGTTAGTGATCTCTAAGGAACTACAGAGCTTAACCCGCGATGAAAGAGTGACTAGAAATGAGGTGCAGAACTTGCCAACCTTCGCACATCAAGGTTCCCCAGCGCAGACAGGCCACGTGGAGGAAAATTTATACAATCGTGAAGAAATATGACACTCGTACACTGTAACATTGACCCCTAGGATTCAAACCCCTCTGCCTGCGTTCCTGTATTTGGTGGGAAAGGCGCTTTCTACTTCTAAAAAGTCAAGGATTCTCTCTGTCCTCAAAACGTGCAATTCAAACTTTTGAATAGGAAGGAGTTGTGGTAGATTGGGAGAAATGCCAGTCCCTCTGAAGTAAACAAATCCTTCCTCCTTCAAACCCGCCATCTTTTCAGGCCACTGCTCCCCCACATTGCCCTTCCCTTAACGCAATCAGCAGGCAGCCTGCAAGCTGGGCCTCTTCCCCTTTTCAGAGGCACCTTGGCCTTCCCATGAAAAGTCAGACTCACCAAATCAGTTTTTCCTCTGAAGTTTTCAAACTCTTTGTTCCGGAAACTCTCAACAGACCTTTAGAGAACAAGGAAATGTTGTGACTCCTTGGGGAAGAGTGAAGACAGGTCAGACACAGATATGGTCAGGATGCACTTGGCCTGACTGCCACAGAGAGGAAGAGTGGAGTGAAATGAAACTGAAACTCTAACAGGGCCGTCCCCAGGAAAAGGGGAGGTACCAACTAGATTCCCTGCCCCATCCAGGGAGGGTGGACTTAGCAGGGAGGAGAAGCAGCTGAGGAGGTGGATTGTAAATGGTTTTCAGGCTTTTCTGCCCTCCCACCATTAGGATTGCCCTGCCTGATGGGGCACCTGCAGTTGTTACATTGTTGTAAGCTGTCTTGTTTACTTCTGTGGGCCATGGGAGGAGTATTGAGATAGTCACCAAGAGAAGCAGGGGCGGGAGAGAGAAGGGGAGAAAGAAAGCCAGAAGAGAGAGAGAAGCCCAGAATGAGGACTTGCCAGGGTCTTGGACGCCTCCTGGTCTCCTGGCCCCCTGACACCCCTGCCTGCGTTTACCTGTTTGCCACACTACATGTAAAGCTCAATAAAAGCTTGAGAAATCCACAGAGGGCTCTTGGACTCCTCCTTTACAGTCTGCTGGGCTCATAGGAAACCTGCTCAGTGGTGCATCCTGCCCCTGCAGCAGGAGACTGTCATAGGAAGGAAGCAGGATGTAGAGGGAGAAGGAGGCCTGGAGAAGGCTCATGGAGCCTGGAGACATGCAAAGAAGCTGCACTTGCTTTTTCATCCTGGACTGGCAAAAAAGGATGTGGGTGAGAGACCCAAGGGAAGGTGACAATACCAGCTTTTATCACGATTATGATTTTTCTCTTTTCCTCCCAGACTTGTCTGGTCAGTTTCTGACCCTTGTCTATGGGTCCCCGCCTAAAGGTGTTGTGGACTTGTGGCAAGCTTTTGGGCCTTGCTTTGGCCAATCCTGTTTGGCTGGAGTTCTTCCCTTGAGGGGATGGGTAACTTGGGTGCTTGATTTGGAAACTATATTCTTTGTCTTTTCTGTATTGCACACTGATTGTATTGAAGTTCTTTTCCATTGACGGTCTTATGTTTTGTCTTGATGTGGCAGATGGCAGAAATATTGAGAGCAGGTAGGTTTATCCCCACCTGTGTGATATGTCATAATCCAAACATACATATTCCTAAGAATGGAAGCTTTAAAATGCTAGTCCTTATTCTTCCAGTTCCTTTATTCTAAAGCCAGTCAGTATAACAGGCTTCCCTTTTCTTGGAGCAAGACTGATACTGTATTTTCTATCTAAGCAAACATATGTGATTACCTCAGAAACTTTCTCTGCTGTATCAACAAGAGGTTGTTTGTCTATCTAGTCAAAAATAAAAGTGTGCCTCTTTTAGAGAATTTACTCATAAATTCATTGAGCAGAAAACATGCCTAAGCAGAAGATATGAAACAGGTTTCTTTGAGTATATCCACCATGTAATTGAGCTAGAGAATTCATAGCAGGTGCTGGTTAATAGCATCATTACTTTTGTTTTTTGGAAGTTGATTTTTGTGCTTCACTTTTTTTTTAAATAATAAATTTTATTTTTATATTCCCCATAAAATTGCAACCCCCCCATTCTGACCCCAATCCCTCCCCTCCCGCCCCTCATCCCCCAAAAAGTGTCTCTGGTTCATAGTTTTTGTTGATTTTGATTTTCACTTTCTTATTGTTATTCATTTTCCTGGTCCCTTATTTGCATCATTACCTTTTGATGTCCAGAGGAATAACACCACTATTGCCTTGGAAGGTGTTTATCAGGAACAACTACAAGGAGCATATAAGAATGTAAAGAATCACCTGGACTATTATATCTCTGTGCAGAACACGATGTGTTGGAAGGAAAAGGTGCACATGATACACTGGATAGAGAAGCACATGGTACTGAGCACCTCTGTCAGGCAGGAAAAGGAGACGCGGGCCAAGTGCACTGCCCATCTGAAGCTGCTTGCAATGGCTCAAGCACAAGCAGTTCTGTAAACGCATCTATCCCAGTTCAGCCAGCTAGAAACAGTTGGCTTCACTGCATGCAAAGCAGGCTATCTGACAAAATTGTTCTGCATTACTGTCTACTAAAGTTATGGTTTAACCTTCCTAAAAGTGAAGAGTTAAAGCAATCTATTGGCCAGTGAGATGTTTTCATCCTTCCTGCCCTGCAAGTAAGTTGTTCAAGCAACAATGGAATAGGACCGAGAATCCACAAATGAACCAACACTTGTATGGACAATTTATCCAGAACAGAGGAGTCAAGAATAAACAGCAGAGAGAGGAAAGTCTCTTCAACAAATTATTTGGGGAAAACTAAACTGCCACATGCGAAAGAAGGAAACTAGAGAGCTATGTCACACCTCACACAAACGATAACTCAAAATGAATTAAAGACAGGATGGCAATCTTTGAAACCACAAAATACATAGAGGAAAACAAACAAAACCCTCCATGCCATTTGCTTAGAGATGTCATTGTGTATTTGTCTCCAATGATATAGACACAAAACAGAATATAAATAAATGGGACTACATGAAAGAAAAAAGTCTTCTGCAAAGTGAAAGAATCTATCATTAAAACAAAAAGACATCTACTTGAATGGAGAAAATATTTGCACATCATACATTATGCATATGAGAACTAGGGTGTATGCCAGAGGTATGGGTGAGAGGATTCACCAGAGACAGCCTGGGGAGCAGGACAGGGGGATCAACTGAAATACACTGCTGAGGGGAAGAGCGGGCGAAACCGGAGAGGTCTGCTGGGCCCATGTGGGTTAGCTCCCTTGCTGACGAACAAACCCATGCTGCAGTGGCTGGCATTGAGCCATGTTTTAAAACTCATGTTGAAAAATTGTGTGAATTGTGAATTCAGGTTTCCTCCTCACCCAGGTTTCCAGAAATCACTTGACAGGAGCTAAAACTCTCAGCTAAATCTAATATCTCACACGAGAGTCCCATGATATTAACCAAGGACATGTGGTCAGTCAGGGACTCACAGCGAGAGGAGGAATACTTGTCACACTCTCTCAGCTACCCATTCCCTCCAGTTCAGTCACATAAAGTACATAAAAAATACATCTATTAATATCTCTCCTTCAACAGCTATCTGGGTACAAGGGAAAGTTCCCTCACCAGCGTGAGTTGTTCTGAGACTAGATGCATAAATGAACATCAGACAAATTAGTATGAGAAAAACAACAAATTGAATAGGATGTGTAGAGAGAATTATACAGCAGTAAATTCTAAAGTAAATGGTAGACAGCAAGGTCTTATATCCTATTATAAGGGACTTGAGTCACCAGGGAGAGAGGAGAGAGTTTCACATCATAAGGAAATGACTTCATATGACAGAACATTGCCTTTGATTGTTTGCCCTTCCTTAAGATATTTCTCCTATTTAAAAAAATATTTCTGCAGAGTCCTATACCTAGGAAAACTTAAATCTTCAAGTAATGGTAGTAGTTTCTCATGAAACTGTTTCTCACAGGATCTTGATGGATCTTCATTCCATATACCAAGGTGACAGGTATTGAAATGGCTACTCTGGATATCTACGAAATCCTGTCTAACCTTTGGAGGAGGGGGCAACAGATCTACAGCACGATGCTCGCTATCTTCAGTATGAACATGAGGGTGGAATCCGTTCAGAACATCATCCACTATCTTAGAGTTTGCACCTTCCCATTCTTGCCTCTGGCCTCCACCGCAGTTCTTGTATGCATAAATAAATAAAGTAAATCTTTAAAAAACAGAAAATTATATATTCTGTTTCAACGAAAAGCAAAAGGAGTAATATTTAAGTAGATTAATATTTATTCTAATATCCATGATTTCAACCCAGAGAGAAAATTAACAGATACTAATCTGGATCAGTGCTCATGTTCTAGAAAATGAGAAATCACAGAATTTTATCATTTAATTCCTGCAACATTTCTATCAGTTCAGCCTCAGTATTGCTATTTCTAATGAGAAACTGAATCCAAAAAAGCTAGTTTAAAAAGGACTAGTAAGAAGCATTATCACCCTGATAATGAATTTCTGTCTGATTTCAAAGTTTAGGTTTTTAACTGTCCAGAGTGTTCATTCTCTACATCATTTCACCTGCAAGAGCAGCCTGGTCATGAAAGAGCTCACCCTGACTCTAGCCATTACAATGACTGCCCGTGTTCGTTGATAGGAACTATAATGAGCATTCACCTCTACTTCCTGGCACCCGAGGTTTCCCATGGTGTGCCCAGCTTCTTCAACAGATCAGCATCTTCTGGCGTCTCCCTCCCCACCCAACATCCTAGGGAAAATGCTCCTACCTTTTCTTTGGGGACATACTCAAGAGAAGGCGCTTGTGGTGGAGAAATACAGAGTCAGTTTCAATACTGCCTCTTCCACTCATTAGCCATTGGAGGCTGAGCACTGACTCCTACTGAGTCCCAGGGCAAGTTAGGGTTAAGTATGCAGCTTCAGGCAAGGTGCAAGCAGGACAAGGGAGACTGAAGGGCGGCCCCTGGGATGAGGGCAGAGAAATTCAGTAGGGCCAGTGCCAGCAGTAAAAGTAAATTTTAGGAGACCTTGGACAGGGAGGTAAACTACTAAGATAGGAGCTGGGAAAATGGGCACCTCTGCCCAGAGGAGTATAGCCACTAGGAGGAAGAGCCAATCACAAAACGGGACGATGAGATTTAAGTGGGGGTTGGGGGGGTGGTTTAGTTATCCCTAGAGAGGCCTTCCTTGTCCCTCCCAAGTACAGCATACTGGGAAGTTCTTGCTTTCTTCCTTCAAATAACCTTGTCCTTACTTTCTTAAGGTCTGTTTCTGATTACTCATCTAAAATGTCTGAAAATTCCTTTTTTATAGTTTTGTGGGACAAGAACCTGTGGTGGCTCAAGGGCTAAAGTCACAATGCACAGCGGCATCAATAAGTTTATATATTCTTTCAGCTATAGTTAGGAATTCCTTCTTCATATGATATTTTTGAAGATTGACTGGGATAAAGAAACTGTGTATAGTTATATCTATGTGTGTACATACACACACATAGATACACATTTGTGTGTGTGTGTGTAAGTGTGTGACTATCCCATTCCCAGCCCAAGCACTTTCTTTTTCATCTTTCTGGAACATTATTACCCCTCTGTA